TGGATTGCTACAGTTATAACTAGTTTTGTCTGCTGGTATTTGTGTCTTTCACTTGGCTTATGTCTCTGGGGTATCTGGAAATTCGGTTTCCTTCGCTGATCATTGTGTGGATAGATCATCCGGGTCTTTTTGGATAAACATCTAAACTGTATCCGTGGTGTCTAACATCTTCAATGAGTTTGCTTACCTGGGCAAAATTAGTCCATCCTAATGTTAAAATTTGATTTGTCAGTTTGTGTGTAAAGCTTTCCTGTCCTGCAGGTAGACTCAAGGCTGGAGGAAGGGATGGATTATCTGGCTGTGTGGCGATTGACTTGACCTCATCTTGGAGGTGATGGGATATCTACATAAAGCATGTCCACTCTCTTCGGATTAAGCCCTGATGAGATGCAGCTCTTCAGTCTGATCTGTTGCCTGCTTGGTTTATTAGGAGGAAAGCCTTTATTTCTTGGGGCCCGAGTCCTAGTAATTTCTCCTTTTCTCTAGCGGCAGCTGTAGATGCGGCCGACATGTAAACATCTCTGTCCCCAGAGGCAGTTTTGTTAGAGTAATCGTGCTACTTGTTGGAGCAGAAGGTAAATCGCCTCATCTGTCGCTTTCATGACAAACATTGACCTTCACTTGCTGCTGACTGGCTTCGCCATGTTAGGACATTTCACTTGGATCGTTCTGCTGTTGACTAAGCGCTAGGAAGAGGGAAAGTCCTGCCTATGATTGGCTTCTATTAGAGTATGGCACAGATCGTGGTGAGTTGGTAATCCCCAGGCTAATGTTGCGTGTAGATGTCATGTTGAGTCCCTCGGGTTGCAGTAGAAGGAAGTCTTCAGAAACCCAGTCCTTAAAATGGCTTAATGGTGGTGTCTAGAAGGCTGGTTGCTTGGTCAATACAATCTGCTAGGAGTATCCGAATTGAATGGGAAGCAACAAGGCTTACCCTTTGTTACCCCCCTTACAGCGTATTTCAAGTTACACCTGGCATATGAAATTGAGGTCGTTGCCCTAGGCGCCCCCCCCCCAGCAGAGAGCCTGGCACTGACCAATGCCAGACCCCCTCAACCACCTGAAGAGAGCCTGACAGCGACCAACAATACCCCTGCCCCCCCCCCCCCCCCCCCCCCCAACCGAGAACCTTCCACGAACACCCCCCCGGCAACAGACGCTTGCCTTCACAGCTCCGGACATCCCCAGGAATGAGAGTCGGGCTCTGCATATATACCAAGCAGCCTCTTTCGGATCCCACCTGGTCCCCTGCCACATGTCCCTTCTTCCTGGGGGGGCTGCCCCCTTGGAAAGTGCCACCCTAGGCAAATGCCTTGTGGTAAATTCGCCCCTGCCCCACCCCCAGCTTGAGTTGTGGGATTCGTTTCCTCGCCGGGCTCTGTTTAGTTTTCTCCTGACTGAAGTATCATTGCCCGTCCAGCAGATGAACTTGGTTCTCAATACTGCACAAGCGCGGTGACATCACTCGTAGTCCATAAAGCGCTCCAAAGCTGCTGGAAGTATGGTACGCAGGAGCCTTGCATTGCGTCTGTAACAATTATCATGTTTTCAATGCTTTGCAGGCTTAAGCTCATTTTTGTTCTCGGGCTAATTTCAATTTTTGGTTTTGAAAAAGCTGCAAATGCAGGAAAATGCCAGGTCTGCCTAAAATTCAGTGAGCAAACACTGCAACCGAAGTAGTGGCAGCTCTAGTTTAGGTACAGAATTCCTTCTCTCAAAGTGGTTATGAAGCTTCAACATTTGCTTTCAGGTAACACATGTTTAGGCACCCCCTTATTTTTGAACCTTTATTTGATCCAGCGCTGTGCCCATTTGCAGCTCTTCTCTACCCTCTTCTGGTCTCTCAGCCTTGGCCATTGGCTCCCACTGCTGGCAAAGCCAATGACAAGGGAAGCTGGGTGTGGGGATGAGACTTGTCTGTCAATAGATGCAGACAATGCGACTCGGGAGTGAGCCCACTAAAGTGCCCTCTTGGAAACCGGCTTTCTTCGAGGAAGCCAGGAGTGCCAGTGGTGGAAAGTTCCAGGCTGCTCCGTGCAATTCCATGCCACAGAGCAGGTAAGTATAAATGTGTTTTTTAATTGCAATTACTAACATGGTTCAGCAGGAGACAACTGGCAAACTGCTTTTTTTTTCAGTGCTAAATGTTGGTTATTTATGATCTAGGTATGTGGTGAATGTATAATGAAGTAAAACCTACTGTGAGGATAAACATTGGAGCTGCCATTGGGGGCTCAAAGTCTTTCTGATCCTAGCTACAGTATGGTTTGCCTTTGTAAAACGATATTAGAGCCACTTTGGGGCTTTGGGGGGGGGGGGGGGGTTAACATCTGCCATGTTTCTCAGTGGCCATTGTGTGTTTAACCTGCCTGTGTGGTCATCTGGGTGGGGAAGAAGAAATCTGAGAAGGGACAATGGTAGCCACCTGACTTTCCTACCCCTCAATGCCAAAACAATGTTTGGCTGGGTATGCACTAGTGTAGAAATTATTCCATCCTGTTCAAATTTTCTCATTGCAAAAGAAAACAAATATAAATTTGACAAGTGCAGCACTAAATGATTTATAATTAAAATGATAAAAAGTTCATATAAAATAGCATAAGTTGAATTCCAGCTGAAAAACTAACAATCCACAAGTGACAATCTGTGCAGATATCGGTACACTAGCAGCAATAATACTTCAGTGTTGATGCTCCAGATCTGTGGGGTAAGAATACGCACTCACCAGATGCGTAATGTAAATACGCATTAAATCAGACAGCGGAGGTCACCTTTAGAAATCTGATATAGCCAAGCCAAGGGTAATCCTCCCTCTGGATAATGGTGGTGCCTCAGGAGCTCTGGGGTAGTAAAGGATCCAGTCAGCCAGAGGTCCCCTTTAGGGATGGGTGGGTGTAGAAGCCTGTCAGACAGGGACTCCCTCCTCTGGATACTGCAGTAGATCAGATGGGCTCTACAAAATTAATTGCTCTGCATGGGGAGACATAAGTGCCCATAGTGTAGTAGGTGATAAAACCAAATTTTATTAACCTCCCTGGCGGTATTCCCGAGTGTAGCTCGGGGTAAAGTTTCAGTACTACAAGCGGTAACCCCGAGCTTACCATGTGGCGCTGCTCTGTGATCTGTTCTTCTCTTACCTTGTCCTGCGCTCCCGTGATGTCCCTCCTGCAGTGTCCCCTGTAATGTCCTCTGTCGGATGCCGGCATCTGTCATCTGGGTTCCGTCCCCTGCAACGTCGGGACATACGGGGACGGAACGGCGGGAAATTTGAATGACAAAATGACATTCACTAAATACACTAAAATCACATAGTATAACATTCCTGTATTAAACCATTTCACATACATTTTGTCCCGAGTGCTTTGTCCGGCGCCCTGCCTGCATTGTTACTGTTCTTTCTGCCTGGAAACTGAGAAACGTCCATGGCGTCCAAAAACTGTCCCTTTAGGTCAAAAGCGGTTTTAGACCGGCTAGAGAACAGCGATAGTAAATTAGAACCACTTGCAGAATTGAGTGATAATGATTTGTGGGGGAAATTCCTCATCAGACACTGAAAACAATTTTTGCGACTTTGCTCAGTGATGTGCGAACATTACTTTTTTGTTTTATTATATTGAATTAAATTTATTATTTTTTATAATTTATTAAATTATAATTTGATTTCGTGTTTCAAATTTTAACATACCCGGGATGTTTACTAGACTCTTGTTCGGACAGATTTCAGTGAGTTATTCCTAAAAATTACAGGTATGAACAGGAGCCAGGCGCTGTGTAGTTTTGTGATAGAAATAATACACCTTGTATGGAGGTGTGTCTTTAATAAGTCATATGGTAAAACAATAATAAATAACCAGCCTGTGGCTTTAGGAAGCCAGGTTCCAAGATGGACGGCCCGTCCGCTCAGAGGGAAGCAGTGGAGTAGAATGCCTGTCAGTGCAGGGACCCACGTTTACCCGACGTCCCAGCGTCCTGGATGACGTCACCACGATGTGGAGAGACAGAGACATGTTTCGCGCGCATGCGCTTTGTCGAGACTTGACAAAGCGCATGCGCGCGAAACATGTTGTCCCAGCAACCGGCCTCTTCCTTCTAAAGCTGCGGCTCCAGCAAGAGTTCCCCCCCTCTGTCTCTCCACATCGTGGTGACGTCATCCAGGACGCTGGGACGTCGGGTAAACGTGGTCCCTGCACTGACAGGCATTCTACTCCACTGCTTCCCTCTGAGCGGACGGGCCGTCCATCTTGGAACCTGGCTTCCTAAAGCCACAGGCTGGTTATTTATTATTGTTTTACCATATGACTTATTAAAGACACACCTCCATACAAGGTGTATTATTTCTATCACAAAACTACACAGCGCCTGGCTCCTGTTCATACCTCCCACAAACCGATGTGTTTTTTACCATGGCAGCAGTGAGTTTTTTCCCCACCAATCATAGTTGACATATACCATTCACTTATTTCCTTTGGGACACATCTGTGCGCTTTTATCCAGACCGTTCTTCCTAAAAATTACAGGCCTACAATAAAAAAAATACATATTTTCATGCAAAAAAAAATGTACCGCTTTGAGCACAGAAATATGGACATAATCAGACCACTAGGGAGGTTAATAGAATTAGCAAATTCATAAAATGACAATGATGGGAAAAAACACAGGAAAAATGGACTAACGGTCCATAAGTAAGATGGCCGCCGGGCCTTCACGTGGCTCCGGCGGCGTGACGTCATGGCGTACTGGCTCCTCCTAAGGACTTATCTGATTGTTATTGAGGTTTTATATTGGTTACCTTCCAGTGCTACAGCTGCTACCTATAGAGCGCTCACTTTTCTTTGTTGAAATATAAATTTGACCCACCAATAGAGAATGACCATTCTTACTACAAAAGTTGAACGAATTCTTGTCTAGTCAGCTTAACGATGTGATCAGCCAGCAATGAAGGCTTAAGCAGTTTTAGATATTTAACTTGAATTCTAACTTACCGTTTTTTTTGTTTGCAGGAGAACGTCTTTTTGGCTCTCCGGAAGAAGCCTGTTACCTTTGGTTCGTCATGGAGTTCTGCGAAGGTGGCGATCTCAATCAGTATATCTTATCCAGGAGGCCGGACCCTGCAACCAACAAAAGCTTTATGTTGCAGCTGACAAGTGCCATTGCCTTTCTGCACAAGAACCAGATCGTACATCGGGACCTCAAACCTGATAATATTCTGATTACCGAGCGATCGGGCGCTCCTGTGCTCAAAGTAGCAGACTTTGGCCTCAGCAAGGTATGCGCTGGGCTCGCTTCCCGGGGGAAGGAAACTACAGGGGAGGGAGCGAACGAGAACAAGACTGTGAACGTGAACAAATACTGGCTGTCGTCGGCCTGCGGCTCTGACTTTTACATGGCTCCGGAGGTGTGGGAAGGTCACTACACGGCTAAAGCTGACATATTTGCCCTGGGCATCATCATCTGGGCTATGATTGAGCGCATCACCTTTGTGGACGCAGAGACCAAGAAGGAGTTGCTGGGGACTTACATAAAGCAAGGCAGTGAGATTGTGCCTGTAGGGGAGGCGCTGCTAGAGAACCCAAAGATGGAACTTCACATCCCACAGAAACGCAGGACTTCCATGTCGGAGGGCATCCGGCAGCTGCTTAAGGACATGCTGGCCGCTAATCCTCAGGATCGGCCGGATGCGTTTGAGCTGGAGACACGGATGGACCAAGTTACATGTGCTGCTTGAGGCATTGCTCTGGTAAGAGGCTTGAGCAGAGTCTGGGTAGCACAGTGTGTAGGATGGATGTTAGGATCTCATTAAGCCATCTTTCCTCCTGTCACTATCTGCTCACTAAAGTATGTGAACCCTAAGCACGGTTATCTCTAAAACAATTGATATTTTAAGTTTCACTTTTTGATTGTTTAATCTTCAATTTGTCCACCCAGAACATGCATATTAGGTGCTCCGACACCTTGGGGGAGACTTAAACTGCGGAGTGCGAAATCTGGAGCAGCTGTGCATGGTAGCCAATCGGCTTTTAACTTCAACTTGTTTAACCCCTTCCTGCCGGCGCCTCCCGGCCCTTTAAGAGTTTCTGAAGGCGGGGTTTAGGGATCACTTGATTGGGAAAGGTCCCGATCGAAAGAAGAAATCGGGACCTTTTCATCAGTACTGGACGTGTGCTGGGAGCGCGCTCTCGGCACATATGTATTTTGTATATTGAACGCAAATGTGCGGTCGCTTGGCGTCTAGGCCCAGACGGGAGGCAGCACATTTGTGTGCAGCTGGTGCCAAGGGGTTAACTAAGCTTTGACAAGCAGCAGCAGAGTGGACACTGACCTGTCATCCGCATGATCAGCAGAGATCCCTCGCTGAGCAGGCAGGTCCACCCCATGTGAATCCATGCAATCCGGTTGCAGTGCATTTTAATAAGTACTGCATGCACTTAGTGCGGTGGGATTTTTAGCCTATTCAAAATGAAATTGGAACTCACAGCGCATTCCTGTGATTAATGTGCGGGCATGATGTGAATTGGCCTTTAACCCCTTGATGCCGATCGCACGTAAATATGCGGCCTCTCTGCGTCTGGGCCTTGCCGTTGAGTGGCCGCATATTTGCACGCAATTAGAAAATGCATATGTGCAGAGAGCAATCTCCCAGCACATGTCAGACTCCCGGAAAGGTCCCGATCTCCTCTTTCGATCGGGACCTTTTCTGATCATGTGACGGCGAATCACGGCGTTCACGTGAACCTAAAAGCTCGTCCCGGCTTCTGAAACTCTTAAAGGGCCAGAAGGCGCCGGCACCAAGAGGTGAAGCTTTTGATAAAACCTGGAAGCTGATTGGTTTCTATGCAGTGCTGCGCCTAATCTTTACACTCCAGTTTTATTAAAGCAACCCCCTTGTGTATCCATAGAAACATGGCTGACTAGATCATCTGCTTTTAAAGCCCAGCTGTTGGATGTCAACCTATTCTTGCTTTTGGGTCCCTGTGCACTGCAAGGTATACAATGTTAAATTTAGGGGTTGAGCAAAGGTGTAATGGTCCCTGCTGTCCTTTGTACATAATGCAGGGATGTTGGCCCTACTTGCTATTTGAGGGCATTGTGCAACTGTCCTTGAGCACTGTACGAGAGGCTTCAGGGGACTGGTTCCTCAGATGGAGGGAGCTTGCTTGAGTGGAATAATTAAAAAAATTACTCGTGGTGCACCAAAATGAAAATTCTGGTGCCAAAACCAAAAATTCAAAATGTACTTAACCGAAACTGAAATGTGCAGTTTTTTAACCACTTGCCTACCGGGCACTTAAACCCCCTTATTTACCAGGCCAATTTTCAGCTTTCAGCGCTGCCGCACTTTGACAATTGCGCGGTCATGCAACATTGTACCCATATGAAATTTTGATAATTTTTTTCTCACAAATAGAGCTTTCTTTTGGTGGTATTTAATCGCCACTGGGCGCTTTACTTTTTGCGCTATAAATAAAAAAAAAGTGCAAAAAATTTGAAAAAAAAAGTTTCTTTGTTTCTATTATAAAATTTTTCAAACAGGTAATTTTTTTCTCCTTCACTGATGTGCGTTGATGAGGCGGCACTGATAGGCGGCACTGATGCACTGATAGGCGGCACTGATGGGCACTGATAGGCGGCACTGATGGGCACTGATAGGCGGCACTGATGGGCACTGATAGGCGGCACTGATGGGGCACTGATAGGCGGCACTGATGGGCACTGATAGGCGGCACTGATGGGCACTGATAGGCGGCACTGATGGGCACTGATAGGCGGCACTGATGGGCACTGATAGGCGGCACTGATGGGCACTGATAGGCGGCATGATGGGCACTGATAGGCGGCACTGATGGGCACTGATTAGGCGGCACTGATGGGCACTGATAGGCGGCACTGATGGGCACTGATAGGCGGCACTGATGGGCACTGATAGGCAATACTAATATGCAGCACTGATAGGCAATAGGCGGCACTGATAACTATAGGCGGCAGCACTGATAGGCAATACTAAATATGCAGCACTGATAGGCAATACTAATATGCAGCACTGATAGGCAATACTAATATGCAGCACTGATAGGCAATACTAATATGCAGCACTGATAGGCAATACTAATATGCAGCACTGATAGGCAATACTAATATGCAGCACTGATAGGCAATACTAATATGCAGCACTGATAGGCAATACTAATATGCAGCACTGATAGGCAATACTAATATGCAGCACTGATAGGCAATACTAATATGCAGCACTGATAGGCAATACTAATATGCAGCACTGATAGGCAATACTAATATGCAGCACTGATAGGCAATACTAATATGCAGCACTGATAGGCAATACTAATATGCAGCACTGATAGGCAATACTAATATGCAGCACTGATAGGCAATACTATATGCAGCACTGATAGGCAATACTAATATGCAGCACTGATAGGGCAATACTAATATGCAGCAGCACTGATAGGCAATACTAATATGCAGCACTGATAGGCAATACTAATATGCAGCACTGATAGGCAATACTAATATGCAGCACTGATAGGCAATACTAATATGCAGCACTGATAGGCAATACTAATATGCAGCACTGATAGGCAATACTAATATGCAGCACTGATAGGCAATACTAATATGCAGCACTGATAAGCGGCACTGATAGGTGACACGGATGATGGGTACTGATAGGTGACACGGATGATGGGCACTGACAGGCGGCACTGACAGGCGGCACTGACAGGCGGCACTGACCATCAGTGCCCTGATGATCGGTGCCGATCCCCGCTCTAACAACTGCCGGTTCTCGGCAGTACTTTCCTCACGATCTGACAGCTGAGAACCGGCACTTGCATTTCCCTCTGATCAGCGTGTCATTGGACACCGCTGATCACGTGGTAAAAGGCCTCTGTGATCGGCCTTTTACCACATCACGTGATCAGCTGTGTCCATAGGACACAGCGATCATGGAGATCGCCGGGTGCGCGCCCCCTGGGAGAGCGCGTTCTGGGGGGACTTCATATGACGTCCACTCAGAACTGGCCGGCCGCAGTTTAGCAGTCATTCGGCTATCTGCGGTCGGCAACTAGTTAAAAATGAGTATTTTTGGGAAAAAACGATTTGATTAAAACTATTTTTTTGAAAAATGAGGTTACGACGAATAGATACTCAACATGTCATTTTTTAAAATTGCGCACGCTCACGGAATGGCGTTAAACTGCAGTACTTTAACTTTACACTGCTAATCTGTAGAAATTTTTAAAGCATCACCCAAAAGGCCAGAGGTCTAGTGGGAGAATTATTGCTCTTGCTCTGACGTTCGTGGTGATACCTCACGTGTGTGGTTTGAACACCATTTACATATGTGGGCATAGCTTACGTATGTGTTAACTACTACGTGCGGGGAAGGGGGCACTTTAAACTTAATTTTTTTTTTGCACTGTCCCTTTAAAAAAAAATTTTTTTAATCCCTTTTATTAAAATGCATGCATCCCTTGTGATAGAAATAATTAGTGACAGGTCCTCTTTATGGAAAGATATGGGGTCAATAAGACACCACATCTCTGCTGCAATGTAAAGCATTAGATCAGAAAAAGCATTGATCTTGTGCTTTTTAAAAAAAAATGGCCGCAATGGGAAGTGACATCGCTCCGGTCCTCCAAGGGCATAGAGATGAGAGGTGGACATCTTTCCTTCACTCTCATCTATGCCCAGCGCCAGGATCGATGGTTACTCAGGTAAGGTGTGAACTACCAAGCGGCGGCTGACGCTTGTGGAATGGCATGAAACTGTGGTACTTAAATTCTCCATGGGTGTTGCTTTTAAAAATTTCTACAGGTTAGTGTAAAGTTAGGTCTAGTGCGAGAATTATTGCTCTTGCTCTGACGTTTGTGGCAATACCTCACGTGTGGTTTGAACACCATTTACATATGTGGGCATGGCCTACGTATGCATTCACCACTACGTGCGGGGACAGGGGTACTTTAAACATTTTAATTTTTTTTTTTCACTTTTCCTTTAATCACTTTTATTCCTATCACAAGAAATGCATGCATCCCTTGTGATAGAAATAATTAGTGACAGGTCCTCTTTATGGAGAGATATGGGGTTAATAAGACCCCACATCTCTTCTGCAATCTAAAGCCTTGGATGGAAAAAAAAAAGCAATGATCTAGTGCTTTAAAAAAAAAAAAAAATTGGCTGGAACCGGAAGTGACATCGCTCCGGTCCTCGAAAGGCATAGAGATGAGTGGCGGCCATCTTTCCTTCACTCATCTCTATGCCCAGCGCCGGGATCGTTCGATGATTTCTCAGGTATGGCTGAGAACTACCGAGTGGCTGCTGCGGCAATGCGTGGGGTTTTTACGGCACCTGTATCGGTGCTTTTTTATTCATTTCGGCCACCGAAATTACGTTGCATCCCTAAAAAAAATACTGTTCATCCACTTACGTGCCCAAGCATTTAATCCTCGGTGTGTATGGGGCCCCCCTGAAAGAGTTTTTGTAATCTCTAGCGTTAGACTTCAGTAAGCAAGCGGTAGCAGCTCTTACCTATACTGCCAGCCTTCATGCTGAGCCTCTGGCTTCAGTCTAAGTGCAGGGCAAGCAGTGGTATCTTATGAAATTATAAGCTAGAGAAGGTGTGGAATGTGAATCTGTTCTTTGATGTCTCCCTATTGGCTTTTGTACTAGTAACACTTGAGGCATTGTCTAGCACCTGAAGAAATACTG